CCAAATAGCGATTTCTATTAGTGTAGGGATGGTAGACTACCGTGGGCTGGACAAGAGATGAGTGCCGCCCACGGCATTATTATGTACCTGATTGAACTTCAATCCACAACGAATTCACACATTCCCATACGCGCATGCAATTGCAGAGTAGACTCGAAGGAGGCGAATCCACGCAAAACCGGAGAGAAAATATGCACAGTGGAAGCTCAAAATACACAAGAGAATTGAAAAACGAATTTAATTCTGTAATCCCCCGTCCTCCTCCAACCAGAGTACTTATCACCGCTTTAACAACAACCTCATACAACCAAGAACAAGTGTTTATGCAGGAGTCTTCTTCTTCCTCCTCACCACCTCATACCCCTGGCTATGGCTGCCATAGCAGCAGTAACCCCACAGCTGTCACAACGTGCCAATCCGAACCAGCAACCCCAATGATAGCAGCGCCAGCTCAGCGCCCGCACGGAAGTGCAGCACTAGAAGTCCTCATGAAGAAGGAGACAACCAATCCAGCACTTAGAAGAAGATGAAGTTCCTCGTGAGGAACAGCAGATATGGCTGCCAAGTAGAGAATGGCAGCGCCCGAACCCAACCACACAGTCCTGTGGAAGCTCTCGTGCAGAGCTGCTAAATAGCAACAGTGCGATCGTTTCCCAGCCCCAGCTATGGCTGGGCTTCAAGGAAGAAGATGCCCTTGCCAAAAATAGCGCAGCAACGCTCCGGGAACGGAAGGGAAGAGTTTCCCCAGCAAAACGAGATGCAAAAGACCTTGACTCGATTTTCTTCCCGCTAATTCTAGACTCACGGACTAGACCTGCGACGGATTCCCCAGGCAACAGCCCAAAACTCATCTGTATTGGGATGGAAATCCGGGAAAAGGAGGCCTGGACCTAAGGCAAAAGAAAAGGCTGAATAGCCGAAGACTACCACACAGAGACCACTGGTGACAGACTCAGGGATCGAGCCCAAGAGGGCTCAAACTAGCAAAGAAAACATACAAATTGCAGATTACGGGATCCAGTCCCGCCATGATCAAAACACGAAAACAACACAACACAACAGACATAGACAGAGGTCTCGGGATAAAGTCCCGACAACCGCAAAACAGGAAATTAGTGTACAATTTGCAGAGACAGACTGTTGTTATGATTCTGGTTGTCTGTTGTCTGAAGACCAACACTCACTCACATAGACTCCCAGGTATGCCCATACATACACAGAAGGAAGGGGAGAGGATAGGAGTATCACACCGCACAGGGAGAGATAAACACAGCGGAAGAGTTGACCATGCGATATGACAGGGTACACTGAAAGTGCAATTCACTCCACTCCATCCTCACAACCAGTCATAAAGGAAAGCCAAGTAGATCACATCCAAGAAACAGTGAAGCAATGATAGTCTGAACCCAGTATCAACACTGTTTATAGTCTCGAATTGTCAGAATAGCTTCAGAACTATGATGCGCTGCTCAGAGATGAGCAGCGCTTCACTCTCCAACCCTGATGAACCGCTATCACTACCCCCGAGTCCCTGAAACATCAAGCGCCACCCAGATACAGCCTCCAAAGGTAAGCACCACCCTGAGACAGGCCTCTGAGTCTAAGCGCCACTCAGAGGATGAAGAAGAAGACCACCGCCACAGTATCTGATAATGATGAAGTGTCGGAAAACTTCCTGGATGGAAGTCTGCAGCAGCACCACCACTCCTGACAAGATGATCTCTGAGGAAGATGCTGCAGCTATGGCTGCAGCGCCACAACCCTGGAACCCCACTCCGGAGGGGGGTCCAGCAGGGCACCAACTTCTCTCGCCTACAGCAGACCTCGAATAGCCCAGACTTCTGTACAGCCCCGCGTGCTGACAGAGTACAGCGCAGGTCCCAGTTATGGCCGGCGCTCCGAAGGTCTGGCTATGTCCGTCTCCCTCGACGCTGAGCCGTCACCACTTCCAGTTCACGCGTTGCACAGCAGCGATGTGTTGGGTACCAACTGCCGAAAGCCCTGAACCGGTGTGCCTAACCCGATGTGCCTAACCCGATGTGCCTAACCTATCTATAGTCTACTCTAGCCTAGCCTCGACCTAGACCGGACTGACTGACGTGAGAGAGAGACAGCGGGAAAGGGGGAGGGGGGCGGTGGTCAATGCACGCCTCATGGTGCACAACCACAGAGAGAGAGAGAACTCTCCCCTTCTGTGCCCTCCTCCCTCTTCCTCACAGGAAGAAACCGCGGTTCGAAACTGTTTGTTTGTCCTAAAACTAATAAAAAGTAAAAATAGAATCACCAATCGGTGGCAGGTGCCATCAAGGAGCTTCTGCCATCAAGGAGCTTCCTTAGCACAGGATTGGAAGAGAATGATTTCAGCCGTGAATTGCCAAAAAGAGCGCTTTAGGTGATCAGATCATACGCGAGGGCTGATCAAAACCTGATGGATATAATGTGATGGGCTATCCAGTTTTGGAAAAAAAAAACCTGATGGATAAAAGGTGATGGGCTACCCCCTTTTTAAAAAAAAAAAAAAAAAAAAAAATTGGTAGTATGTGATGCATCAATACATGGGTTTGATGGTTGAGCGTAGACTTGTTCCACATGGTCAGCACCCAATCAGTCAGTCACTACGAATCCCCCTCAGCAGCGGCCATCCGCGGACAAGTCCGCAGCCCGCACGACCGCGCGACTTTGCGGCCGCATGGCGGCCAGTGGGAAGGAGGGTTTGGGATTTGGGAAGCGTCATGGGGCGGTGCAACCCCAGCCCC